AAAGCTGTGGTAAACATTTAATCATAAAATTCAGGGAACGAAGTTTTTACTAGCGATAACAAATTCGTTTCTAGGAAACAAATTTGAATATTTCATAACGGTACGTAGACTCGGCGTAGCAAAGCGTAGACCACGCGTAGCGGTGTGTAGATACGGCGTAGCAAAGTGTAGACCACGCGTAGCGGTGTGTAGCTACGGCGTAGCAAAGCGTAGCCCATGTGTATAAGTATGTACGTGTTGCGGCTTGTAGACATGATGTCGCTGGCAGAACAAAGTGCCATATTATTATGTGTTTATCCTAATCGAGAAAAAGTTCACAAAACATGGCCAAGCGGGTTGATGTAATTTTGTAAATTCGTCACCATTCCAATTATATTAAATTTTCAAAATTTAAAATTTTGGTCGTTGTAAATTCGTCGCACTTGCTTTTTTCGTAAGGATAACGAGAAAGTTAAAACATGATGAGAATAAATTAATTAATAGTGTCCTAAAAACTACTATTAGTTTTTAAATACTAAATAAGGAACTAGAGAATATTTTGTAGGGAACTCGTTATAAGTTTAAATTATAGAGGTTCGAAATTACAAATGTCGAAGATATGTTTGCTCATGGTTTGTGACTAATTACAGCAACTCTTACCACTTTACATTTATTTTAATGCGTGTGAAGAATTTACTGTGATTGTAGGTATGAAGTTTTTAAAAATGGGACGAATTTACTTTTGCCCCTCCTAGAATTATTGTATAATTTTATTATACTTATCAATCAAATACTAAACAGCTAAATTATAATTGACATTTGGGTAAACAAGTCCAAGTGAGCAGTTAGCACTGAATTAATTTTGTTACATTTGTAGAAATGTTATGTGCACATCAGACAGATATTTTGATAAATGGTAGTAAAGTGCGCTCGCCTCGGTCCCGAGATCTCAGCGCGATCCTCACATCACGCGGCCGCCGTATCAATTGTTAGAACTCAATGCAAGTACAAACATCCTGACTAAGGATAAACAAACTTTATCTTACTTTATGAATAACAAACACTATAACAGAACTCACACTATAACAGAACTCATACTATAACAGAACTCATACTATAACATAACTCACAGTATAACAGAACTCACACTGTAGCAGAACTCACACTATAACAGAACTCACACTATAACAGAACTCACACTATAACAGAACTCACACTGTAACAGAACTCACACTATAACAGAACTCACACTGTAACAGAACTCACACTATAACAGAACTCACACTATAACTCTTCCATTATTGACTGTGACAATCAAAATGAAGAAAGAAAAAAATATTTATTTCACACGCTAAACACAAGTGACATATTCAGATTATAATAATGTTAGTTTATAAGTACTGAACAGGTAACCCTGTTCATGTCCCAAATCTGCGGTGTTGTTGCAATGGGACCGGTTCAGCATGTGCAAGACGGGGGTTTAGCGCTGGTATTCTACTGGCCCTTTAAATGACTCGCGGATGAACTCGCCACAAATTAGACATCAATTAGCAATTTAAAATAATTAATTAAACACACATTATAATACACATAACAAAATAAACGAACAGAAAATAAAAAATAGTCACTGTACATGCTAGCACTGTATATGTCAAATGTATGTACATTTTAAAGAGCCACTTTGCCGCTCTACCTGACATCTGACAACTCTGCTGACCGGGTGCCATTAACCTGTACAGTCACATTAAACAGAAATAAAATGCACACTTGAAACTACGTTATCTGTATAGGAAACTTAGTATGATCTAAGATAGTTTCTTGGAACTTCTATTACAAAGGAAATATAAAAATTGTCTTCGGTCAGGAATAGCGGAGTCGGCATCAGAAGTCAGTTTATTATGAATTAATGAATTCGTAGTCAAGACAATTGAGTGGATTATAGTTTTGTGTCAGTTTAAAGTAGCTGGGAGCTGGCGCGTGTGTCCGAGCTGTACACACACACGTTCATGATACACTCGGTGTCCGTGCCGTGCTGTGCTGTGTTGTGCTGCGCTGTGTTGTGCTGCGCTGTGCTATGCTGCGCCGTGCTGTGCTGCGCTATGCAGTGCCGTGCTGTGCTGTGTTGCGGTAATGAAATAGTAGGATAGCGAGACTACAATTAAGTTAACTTTTAAACCGCAAGGCAGCCGTCGTGTAATTACATTTGTTCCGTACAAATAGTGTTGTTAGTTAATTCAGCGTGTTGTCACAGCGTGGCCGCATGAATTATGTATGTAGGTACAGTGCGGGACGATAAAAGGTTAAAATAATTAAAGTTACAAATTAAATTACGCGGCCGGTCGCGCCGGCCTCGCCCCGCCGCCCGCCGCCCGCCGCGGGCAGTGGGAGCGTCGCCGTGTTTGTTGCTTTTGGACAATGAGTATGGAACATGGTGTTGCGTGCGAGGTATAGAGAATCTATCGACATGTCATTGCCGGGATTTAATATATGCCGTTTAAATTGTTGTTTTGTCCGTACCGAACACGTATGGAAAGGCAGTGTGTATAGAGACATCCGACAGAGGATTTGGGGTACAGACTTCTTGTCTATCAGTGGGTCAGTAACCCATCAGTACATAATTATGAGACATTTTAGTTTTCACCATTTGTTTGTTTTTAGTTCTTGGTTGTAACTTCTCTGGTGTTGTGGGTGTCAGTGGGTCATGCTGACTCAGCGACTTTTCTGCTTGTTTGTCGATTTATAGCATAAAATAAGCTACCCGTGTTTAGACCGACGCGGCGCGTCGCAGTACGCGCGCGGCGGGCGGTGGAGCGCGCGGCGGGCGGTGGAGCGCGCGGCGGGCGGTGGAGCGCGCGGCGGGCGGTGGAGGCGGTACATTGTGCTCCCTGATTAGTAGCCACCGCCATTGTCGGAGCTGGGCTCGCACGGCTGTGTAAGTGTGTACAACTGGCCCTCGTTGTTCCCATCAAATGGGATTGTGTCCTATTTACCGCACAATGCACGCGCCGGTTGTTGATAGCACCGGCGCCGGCTCGCACCGCATGTGCTAACCGTACGTATACTGAGTAATAACATCCGATAATGATCACATTCTTCAATAGAGGTACTTTAATGTTAAGACTGGCTGCTGCCCGCCCAAGTAGGAAATTAGCTCTTAAATATTATAAGCCGACCAATAACTTACGACAAATATACAACTTACAAATTAACCTGTAGGTACATGAAACTGCATAGTGTATGTATGTGAGATGTTGCGGCCTGTAGTGTGTGTGACACCTCGCCCTATAAGTAAGTAGAGTAAGTTGGATATTAAGAGACTCCATTGAAGTTATTCCTAACAGTAACACGTCTCTCTCATTGCTCCACATTGCAGGCCACTAAGGACCAGATTTTAACTAAACTAACTAATTAAGTTTTCTTATCAGTCTCTATTTATGAATATTCAATAAACAAACTGTAGGTACTGTATATTCCAAGACAACTGAAACTAAGTTAAATACCTAATCATATGGTTCTGGGAGTCTTGAAACCATAAGTTAATTAACAAGGTCGCAGGCAGCGCCGCGCTCTAACAAATAGTCTAAACTAGCCAACTGTACCGACTCGTTGATTGGTAACGACGTTACGAATTGTATCTAATGTCACTTGTAAGTCGCCTGCAAACACTCGGCGCTAGCTCCGTATACACTCACTGTGAGGACGGCGCTGAGGACACGGTGGAACACACAGTGGGGGAATGCCCTGCGTGGGCTGAGCCTAGTGCAGGTCATGATGCGGACCGAGGGGGACTGGGATGCCGTCTCTTCCTTTTGCGAAGCAGTCATGATAGCTACGGAGGAGGCGGGACGCGTGAGGCAGCGTAGCGCTGCCTCCTCGCAACCCAGCCATCGCGAAGGACACACCGGGCGTCGGGGATCGCGGGACGATCTCCGGCCACCGTAAGCGCGGGCCTGCGGACGGCGAGCATGGGTGGCTCCCCGTCCGACCAGAAACAGACCCGAGCGTACGGCGCGTCGCATTCCGCGCGCGCCTCAAAGAGCCATCAGACCACCACAGATGGGGCCCAATAGGGCCGATGCCGATTCGGAGTCGCGGAGAACCTAACGGGTAACCGGGGCTCCGGCTCGACGTGCAGGAGAAGGAACGGGGTGGTTTTTAGTCAGTAAGAGTCGGACACTCCCTCCCGCCTCACCCAGGCGGGAGGAGTAGTTGGATGATTTTCCCCCCTTAAAAAAAAAAGGAGTGACGGCGCTCGCGTCACTGAAACCAGAGTCCGATGAAATGGAGGAACTTTTTGAAATTTAATGAAGATCCGGAGTCGATCTGATGAAGGAATCGAAAGACCTTACAACTCGTGACATGTCGCTCCGGCGGCGGCGGCTGGCGGCCGTGTGGCGCCGGGCCGCGGCCGCGGAGGGCGCCGCAATCACGGTGTTTGTTCGCCCCCCCTCCTCCCCCGCCCTCTCCCCTGCCGCCGCTGATTGCTAACACGATGTGTCAACGAAGGCCGCGTCGCCTTCCCAATTAAGTTGTGCGAACAAAACTGTCGCGAGCCGCGTTTCTCACACGTTTACATTAACAACATACAATTACTGATTGTTTCGAAAAACTTTTAGCGGCTGTACATGTAAGTGTCACTGCCGCCACCGCGACCGGTACTGTGTCTGTGTGTGTGTATATATACGCGGGTGTGTGTATACATTAAGGCATCCATTGAAATATTGCGAAGACACGCTTGTAAATGTAATGTCGTTCAATCAAATATTAAAATACGTCTACACGTCGCATCGTTGTATTACCAGTACACCCGTCCGTGTATGTGTGTATGTTGGTATGTTGCTTGGAACCACACAAGTCGAGTTTAAACTGTCAGTCACAGATCACTTCCTACGTGCAATTACACTGTGAACTGGGAACTACGTAATTATAAGTACGTACGAGTACTTGGGCGGGACATGTCCATGTAGCCGGACGCTACTAGTCCGGGCGGCGAGGGATACACAAATAAAACGATTACAATATTATGTTCTTAGATTTGAACTATGTGTTTTATTTTAGTTTCATAACTTAGGTGAAACGAGGGACGGGATAGTTCGTCAATAAATATATTAACAGTACAACCAAACACAACAAAGGAAACAAACAATAAGTTGAGCAACAGAGCGCACTCCGCGGTCGTACAGGCCGCCAGCGACGCTCCTCTATGAGACGAGTTCAGTGCGTGTCCTCCGTACACTGCCACCGACTGCACCACGCAGGCGCACCAATGAGCTTTGTTGGCTGAACGTCAACTCACAACCAATTCTCACTTCACACTGGGAGTACACACGCGACGAGCGCGCCAGTAGTTCACGCAACCATAAACCAAAGTGGCAGACACGCGCGCCGCCAGGGAAACAACGCAACAGGAGAACTAGTGCACACCGTATCACATCGCGAGGGCGGGGCGCTCCGTCACACCGTGGTCTCGCGGTCCACGTGGATGTACTCGACGGAGCGCTCCCGCCGTCAGGACGACGCCGCTGACGACGCGCGCGACGCGTCGAACAACAGCTCCTCCGTCAGCCGGCGCCCCGCCGCCAGCGCGCCCAGCAACTGCTTGTCGGCCCCCGCGCGCCGCCGCCGCCGCAGCAGCGCCGCCACCAATAGCGCCAGCGCCGCCGCGCCGCACG